TCAAAATAAGTGTACATCCACATTCAAACAAACATAATTACTTATTCTGTAAATATGCTACAACTATAATTCAACTAAACTGTGATGTATTTATATATTTGATTCAATATAAATAAAAAATATGCTTATTTCTGTTTCACTGGCAGGAAGGTCGCATGTTGAAAGAAAAATGTAGGATAGAATGTAACAACTACTCATTCCATGTTCGGAAATGTATGGATTTTCATTAAGTGCAAAATCTTTATTATAAGCATTACAGCAACAATGTAATTATAAATATAATGAAAAAAAGCTTTGGAAACATTATTCTTCAAAGTAGAGCCACTGATAAAAAGGATCACAAATGATGTCTTTGTACTGTGTAACCCAAAAGTACATTTTTACAATCCATGGGATAGGTTAAATTTGGTGCAAAATAACACTTGGGATATGACTATGACTAACATGGGATAGGTTAAAGTTGGTGGAAAATAACACTTCATTCTATCTACAACATGTTTGACACATTAAAAATATTTTTAATTTAATGAAACACATTAAGTTTACATGTTATCTAAAAACATTCCAAATATCATTCTATTTTATTATTGTAATGTGCAATTATAAAACAATTTATTTCTAATATTGTAATTTTTTCATTCTGATCATAATGAGAAGAATATGAGTCTGTATACCTACATCATACATCACCTGAAATACTGTTTGTTATAAGAAATCTCCATAGTACCTCTCCATTTCCTAAATCTTACATTTCAGTGTTTTCAATTTTCCATGGAAAAGTACATGAATAATGCCTACTTAATATACACAGACTGTATTCTTAAGATAGAAAAAATGTGATGTAGCTATCATTAACCACACACATTCACATACAAGCAAAGAATGAAAACATACCATCTACTGTATTTAAAGTTGAATAACATCAGTATTTGCATGTTAAAAATAGCAAAAAATCATGCTTTATTACATTTTAACTGCACCCTAACCAGAAAGTGTATCTTACATATAACATAACTCTCAGAAAATCTCCCTCTTTTTTAAAGCTGACATACAAAAAAATCAACTATTTTAACTGGGTGTTCTGTATAATAAAAAACTTGGTTTAAAGAAATGTGAGAATATGTTAGTGACTCAGTGCATTGTCGTGAGTCCTCTGATATCTGTTTAGACTTGATTTTTGATTAACTGCATTCTGAAATTTATTATATCTGTATTGTAGTTTTAAGTATCAATTCTTTGTTGTTCTCTAAGGTATATCTTTTGCATAAATATTTTTTCACATTCATTATATTTATAAGATTTCTATTCCTTAAAATTGTTGTGATGTTGAGCAATGTTTGAGAAAATACTGGAGCATTTATTTCAGTGTAAGTTCTCCCATGTCCAATAAGATCTCTGTTATAACTAAAGCTATTGTCAGCTCTCTACATTATTATAGTTTACTGTAAGTACTGTTGTGCATTTTAAGGCTAATACTTTGGGAAAGCACTTCCATACACATTACATTTATCTAACATTTATCTAGTATGATTTCTTTGATGTCCAATAAGATGTGAGCAGTTTGTAAAGATTTTGCCACAATATCCACATTTGTAGAAATTTTCTCTGATATGAATTCTTTTATGTAGAGGTGTGAGCACTGGGACAATGTTTTGCTACATTCCTCACATTTGTATGGTTTCTTTCCTGTATGGATTCATTTAGGTAGAGTGAGGTCTCTTAGCCTGGTAAAGGCTTTGCCACATTCTTACATTTTTAGGGTTTCTCTCCAGTATGG